TATATAGAGACGGCGAAGGATCGTAACCGCGTTATCGTACGATCCCCGACCCACGTTTCCCACGTGCAACGTCGATTAACAGAGAGAGAATGGAACGTATACGGATCGTAGGCGAGAAAAATAAGCGGGCGAGCGTGTAACAATAATAATAATAACAATAACAATATAGGTATTTTCTAGAAAAATAGACGTCCAGATCTTTCGTTTCGTTGATGCACGTAGCGTGTCGGGCTCGAACGAGTCGCGATCTTTTTTGAACGGGGGAATCATAGAAGAAAAATCCGCGCGACAGTGCGTAAGCGCAAAAGTGGGCATGTTTGAAGGAAGGTGTTCCCGTGCGTATATATCGTGGTCGCGCGCAATGCTGGTAACGGGAGAGGCGTCTTTACCGCTGCATTAACGGTCGCCGTTTTTCGCGCAAGTGAAAACAAGTTTCTGCGCTCTTACAATCGCACTGTTAAATGACAACGTTTCATTAGAAATGATTACGCACCTGTGGTATACCAACGGGTGTATACACACCACGCGTTTGTGTGTGCGCGCCACTCTCTTGCCCCCTTGCGAGGCAAACCGAACGACCAGCATCTCGTTTTTCTCCCCCTTCCCCTCGTGGCTTCGCCACGACTTGATTCACGGTCGATCATCGAGGATCAATCGGTTCACGGTTCACAGTATTCCCCTCTCGAAACGATCGTTCGTATATCGCGAACGAGGGAATAGACGCGAGGATTATGCCTCGAACGAGAGGCACGCGTCTCTTTTAACGCGTTTATTTATTTGTATCGTATTATTTGTACAGACAGAGCGGGTTGAAAATTGATTTTTCACGTTTCAAGACGCGACGAAGAACGGATCTCGAAGTCCGTTCGGAATCCACGTCGACTGATTAATTTACTGGAAGGGATCAACCGCGCATGCTCTCCGCGCATGCGCCGTCTATCGAGGAGAGACAATCGCGTTCGGTGTATACTCCCGAAGAACGTGAAATGAATGGCGAAACGATATTTATATTATGCGGTAGAGGCGGAAGCAATTCGCGGGATATAGGCTTTACGACTCGACGGCAAGTTCGTTATAACAGCGAATGTATCAGTATTCCGAGTTACTCGAACGTGAGGCACGCCGGTAGGTGAGTTTCCCATCGCGGCTCCTCTGGCGTTCGAATACTAATGCCCGTCTCCGTGTACCCGATTGTACTCCTCGCGACACACGAGGAAATAGCTTCCTCCGTGTTCGTTTATGCGCTTCTCACTGACTGCGAGACGAGCAACTATTTCTTCGTGTCACGTTCTTTTAAGTAGGCACCAATAAAGACTTCGGTGGTCCCTCGCATTCGAGGCCTCTTCTTTAAAAAAAAAAACGTATTGTCGCGCCATGTAGGCAGAAGCAAAGAACGAATAGTTAAACAGATTTTTACGGTACTTTTTCTCGACAACGGTTAATCCACCGATGGATGGATTGCTAATATTTTTCCGAATTCTTTAAGATTCTTTAATCTCAGAATTTCAACGTAGAAAAAATTCTCTAAAAATCCTTTTATCTTTTTTTTTTTCCTTTCCTTTTATAATCCCTGCATCTCAAATTTGAATCGAATTCGGCAAAGAAGAAAAAAAAAGAAAAAGAAAAAAGAAAAGAGGACGTGGAAGATGGACGCCGGTGATGATGAATACGGAATATATTCGGTGGAGCGAACGCTCGAGTGGATACGGAAGCGCATAAATATCGAAGGATCGCAAGTATGCGAGTGGATGACGCATTTCCTGCGCGAAACCGCAATAAGAGATTTCACTGTGCAGACGCAACATCGAGGGGGCAATAGGTTGTGCAGAGGTCCTGAATAACTTTCAGAGGAAGCAGGTGCAAGGGGGGAGAGGAGGAAAAGAAGGTCGTAAGATACGCGTAACGGTACCTAGAGTAGGCACGAATATCCGCTTGCAAGCTGTCGCGTCTTTTGCCGCGTCATCGCATTGTCATCCAACTGTGACGAATTTTTCATTAGGCATCATTTCGTAACGATCATCCGACAATTTTCTTTCTCTCGCTCCCTCTTCTTCATTTCTAATTGCGAACGGTACCCGCAATATTTACTCCCTTTAATCCAAGGGAACACGTCGAACACACGCGATTTCCCTCGAAATTATAGCCCATTGTCGGTGGCAAAATGGGCGAGGGCTCCAACGCTTAATTGGCTTACAAAAGGAACGGTTAGCAGATAAGAGGCAACCATGTGCGAAGAGTCGTGCGAAAATCGTGTGGACGCCGGATAATGGATGCGAGATTATCGTCGTTGTGCACAACAAAGAGGAGTATCGTGGAGGAAGCTATCGTACACGTTTTTCGCACGTGGTTTTATTATATCATTTTAGAATTCGTTATCGAATTCTATCACTCGGACGAAGAGAAGCTTTTTCCTTCGAGCTTCACTCGTAGTATCTCGTTTTTCACTCGTCCAATAACTTACGCTCCTTGTTTAACGATTAACACGAGCAAATTTTATAAAACTATAAATAATATCGATTTTTTTATTTCGTGAGAATTCTATTCGTATTATAATGGGCCACTCGTTAATCTCGGCGCTCGGCTTCGTTATTCATACTCGAGCGAGTTCGATCGAGTCATATAGTTCGTATACTTATTATACGAGAAAGCAGCATACTTTCGGCCGATTCTCGTTCGAAATTAGCCTTTGAACCAGGAAGTTCGATGTTACTCTATATTTTTACCTGAGATCCACGTTATTCGGTTTCTTACGTTAATAAAAAAAAAAAAAAAAATACAATACGTACGCGCAGAAGGAATATTTCTCACCATATAGATCAGCATACGTAGCAACCTCCACACCCCTGGCATCCTGGAGGTCCCAGCCTCTCACGATGAGATACGCCTTCCTGGAACGAGAAACGTTTTTGTCGTTAAAAAGTCGTATACAGCCTCGGCTCATCGTAATCGTATGCAACCTGCAAAAGGAATTTGCAGCCGGATCTATTTTAATTTATCCGAGCACCATGGTCTAGCGAGCAAATTAACTGAATACTATCCGCTTCCAGGTCGCGCTTCGGATCCCAACGAGGTCTCGGCGTAAAATTGATTCGCCAACGGAGAAATCATAGTTGCATAGGAGAGGGGTTTGTACGAGCTCTGTACAGATATTAAATTCTGCGATATTAAATTTTTCACGGGATTATATTATCACCGCGAGTATCGATCCGTTAATCCTTTTTATTTCTCGAAAACGCTCGTTTATCAAATCTTCGTTAATGCACGCGGGATCGTTGAAATCATTGAAAATGATGAACGAGCGGAACGGATGAAACGGGTTTCGGTATATTTTCGTATTAATATATTTCTATTTCTCATCGATGATTATCCGTTGAACACCGAGATCCGCCGTGAAGATAGCGCGCGCGCCAGCGTGGACCACCGTGCGTCTTTATGCGCGAAAAAAAGCGATTTTTCAGGGAAGGGAGGGAAGAAGAAGTTTACAACTGGTTTCGTAGTTTCGTGGCTGGCCTACTTATTTTTAGTATTATACTTTGTTGGCTCGAATGTAGCCGAGTCGCTAATGAATCGATAAGCATTTTACCGGTTCGGCTGGCTCCTTCCTTTGATCACGATCTAAACGCCGCGTGTAATTGTAAATTTAAACACGCCGATATCCTAACGATATCTCGTCCCATAATCAACATTTCCGAAATAAATGAACGAATGACAATTAGAAAGACGTGTTCGTTTCTTCAATTTTATTCTTATCTCTCCTCTATGTATGCATACATATTCAAAACCCGACCCTATTCTCCATTCATATACACGTATATTTTTAATCTTAACTAACGGTTATAGGTTCGATCGTTTCGATAGATCGATCGAGGTCGATCGAGGTTCAAATTTTTAATCTTATAATTTTATAATGGGGAAGAAACGAAAGGCTGAGAGGAAAAAAAAAAAAGAATCGAAGGGAGTGTCCGGGATCGAGACGAAAACGTTGGCAAAGATAAAAATGAAGTTAACGATCCCGAAACCTGTTCCACGCGACCATTCATAAAACCATTCGACGACTGTGGTCCGTTTCCACGGTAAGCCATTTATGAATAGATTAAACCGACGGATCTCGACGTTGTACGTTTGCCGGTGTACATCAATCGCGTGTCACTGTTGGAACCAGCAGTCGGTCCATGATTTACCGATCAGCTTCACGATTCTCGTCGATAATAACTTTTTAATTAGCGTTACGTCACCACACTTCTTTTCTCCTCTCTCCCTTAAATGCACCGCCTCTCTTTCCTCTTAACAACGCTCTAAACGATCTATTCAGCTTTATCGATTTTTCTACACCATACGATCGTCTACTAACGAAGCAACTCTCCAGCAACTCTTCATCTTCTTTTTCGCGCTTAAGAAATAGAAATAGAGACGATATAGAACTTCGTTTTTGTCCGAGAATCTTTTTGAAAGATTCAATTTCACTCGTACGTCTAATTCCTAAATCTAATCTCTGTCAGACGTCTCATCCATACGTATATGAATA